TGACTAAATCTAGTTTTTTATGACTAGAACCGACTAAATCACAACTTTTTTTAGTGTAATCACATCTAATCTAGGTGTTGTGGTTCTCGAGATTGAGAAATGGTGCCGCTGGAATAAGCTTATTCCAACGTGGACAACAAAACACCCTTATAACTTTTGAACAGCGGACCGACTAAATCTTGTTTTTGCGACTAGAACCGACTAAACAGCGACTTTTTCTTGGTTAGTCAAATTTCCAAAACTCGACCATGACCACGCTGGAATAAGGCACACCTAAAAATGCCATTACATAACTTTCTAGAAGAACGAAAACTTTACAAGGCTATTTATGACTCTACAGATTCAAAATAGGAAATTAATATGTACGATTGTAGTTTAATCAACAAAAATAATTACACTTTTAATAATAACATTACACTTTAATCTATTCTAAAAAAAATACATAAATCTTAATTATTGTGTAAGTGCAAGAGTATGTTAAAAGTAACTTGAAAAAATTTTTGCATGCAAAATTCATGCGATAACGAAATTGTTATATTACACTGGCTACTTCTAATATCACCTACTTGTTTCTACAGGATTTAAAACAAATAGATATGTTTCTGCTTATATGAATCGAACAGACTGATAATTACTATAACCGACCTAATAACACTGACCTTATAAAATTTTAGAAATGCATCGTTTAGTTTAAAAGGGCTATAAATGAAGTTAGTCAAGTACGGCTGTATTAGAACTTGCCGCTTGCCGACTCTCGGCCAACCGCATTATGATCAGAATAGCCTCTCGGCCATCGTTAAAATTTTATTTCTCTTTTTATTTTCCGATGAAATATTTCATAATCCGTTCACCCAGTGGTCGAAGGGGGAGGTAGATAAGCACCAACCGTTCGCAATCGAGTCCATTTAACTAGCCTCCCAACTCCCATATTCTCCTACTCCCCCTAAAAGCGGGAAATTATGCACGTTTGTTCAGAAAAAAACGCTTCAGAAAAAATACGAATGGAGCGTTGAAGCGAATCGAAAATTAATTACACCTCTGAATAAAATGGTAACATTTTTTACATTGTTGTCGACACTCGGCATTTTGTAGTCCTTTGTTCTCTATAGAGCGCTAAACGTGTTCGGGTGTTACTCCAATTTATGTTGGTACTAAGAAAAGAATAATAGGGTGACCTTTAATCTTTAGGGTTTCTTATAAGGACTTTAATCTCGTTTACTTACCAAATTTAGTAGCTACCTTTCGTCGACGTCAACCTTTTTGTTTATTGTTCGTTACCTGATACGTCTATTATTAATGTAAGCAACTCTTTATTTTTTTACTGAGATATACCATTAATTGTAACGTAAGTAATGCAATTAGAAGTAAACATCGGATGTCTAAAATGTCTAACCTTTTGACAAAGTATTTCATTATTATTAATTTTTTTTTGAAAAAGTATTTCACCAAAAATTGCAGGTGTAATTTGTGGTTGAACGTACAACGAACCCTCAACTTTGAAAACTCAAGTTTGTTTTATTCGCTCTACATTTCCTGAGCTCTGTATACGATACACGTCCTCTATGCGGCTGACACGGACACGGTGCAAAACAAAACAAAAAAAAAGTATGTGATTCGTAGTTGTAATTTTTAATCGGAAAATTTGTTATGAAATCTTTTACTAGTGAGTTCACATTAATATCCTTTTAGCTTTTTACACGTCGGTAGATACCTAACTCACTTTATATTACAATAATTATAGACTAAAGACATTCAATTCTCAATATGTAATATTTTAATTCTTTTCAAATTATATAATTAAAGTAACTAAATTGATGAAACACGATTTTCTAAACTGTCGTTGTGTTAAATTATATTAAACGCTTTTCAAAATTAATTTGGATTACGCAACCTTTTAATTGAATATGCAAATCCGCGACCCACTCCGCTTTTCATTTGGGTAATTGTCGTAATTCTACCTCACTGCTGTGGTGTAAATATTTTTGCCCCATCATATTTCAAATTCTTCGTTGTGAAGCTTTTGAAATCATTTTTGCTACTTATAATTAATTTTATGACAAATTAATTCCAATCCACTAATCAATCAGCTGGGTAATTGTTGTTTCCGCTGTGGCATAAATATTTTCCACCATCATATTTGAAATTCTTCGTTGTAAAGCTTTTGAAATCATTCTTGTTACTTGCAATTGTATGGCAAATTAATTCCAATCCACAAATTTATTACTTATTAAGTAAATGAAACTAATTGAGAAAGGTGCCGAACTATTAATAGTAATTAAGAAAATTAAGAAATATAGGTAATATAAAAAAGTGATTTGTTGAATAACGTATTAGCTTGGTAAAGAAGGAAAGTATTGTACACTGGAGATCGATTGAAGGAAAAGACAAAAGAACAAGCCAGCTAAGCAGTAAAATAAATTTATTTCAACAAATATCTAGACAAGGAACAACATTTTTGTCTACATTGTCAATGTGTCTACAACAGTGTTGTTAAAGCTCGCGTGTAAGCAACATGTGCATCTATTGTATATAGGCAGAGCTGCGTTCGCGTCGGCGGTAGGGGGCAACGCGACTACCTGCAGTACCCCTCGCCTTGCAGGAAGAGTTTGAACGCCTCCGCAATCTTGTTCGGCTGCTCCTCTAACACCATGCCACAGTCAGAGATGTTCATCCAAGATGTTTTTGTTGGGTCCAAGCGACCGTTGAAAGTGACCGTGTCATCCACGTGCGGAGAAAGCGCCCCTGTCATGTTAAGCACAGGTTGTTTAATGGTATTCGACTCTCGCGAAATTGCCAAATCGGTGCGCCGCAGAAACGAGTCAATAAACATGGACAAGTTAGTCGGATTGACGTGAGCAAAGCACTCCTTGTAAACTTGCGCCAAGTCGTGATTACGGTTCTCGGTGCTGCGGCCAAAGTGATGCCACATCAAGTAATCGAGAGCACCTTGGGTCATTCCGCTCGATCGCAACTGCCTCGTGTTAATCTTTTGGTAGAGCCACTCCGTCCATCCAGCTTGGGTCGATGTACAGTTAATAAGGGCCAAAGCATCGACCCTTTGAGGATTAGCGAGTGCATAGCGAGCCAAGATGTTAGCGCCAGCTCCGACACCGAAACCAATAAATGATCTTATTCCAAAATGACCGAGAACAAAATCGATTTGGGCACCCAGCTCATCCATGGTTGGGTAAACAAAATCTTCCGGCAGTGGTGGGGCACCCTCTTCTTGGCCCGGGGCGTTCAGATGATAGACACAGAATTTATCCATAATGGCTCTCATATCCACGAAGTTAAAAAAGGCCTGAAAGTTAGCGGCATAGTTGAGCCCAAGGTCGTGGTAGGTAAGGATGGCGCGCTTGGTGCGGTCCCCTTTTACGGCCACCAGGATGTCCCCACGGGAAGTTCTTACCCGCTCCTCCACGCATGCGCCGTCGCTTTGCAGTCGCCTGTCGGATGGGAAATGTAGCTGGACACTCTTCAAATCATCATCATAATTGTCCGATGACATCATGTTAAGAAGAGCGATATTCTCTTGTATTGATGTAGTAGGCATTGTTGTGAATTTCAGTGTCCAAATGTATGAGATTGGGTGTGGTAAAAGCTGCCTATTTATCTCCGCTTAACGGTGTTGACGAAATTCACGATGTTGTTTTCTCTTAAATAATTAATACACAATTGCTAATTAGCTTACAGCATTACCGGTGAGTAACGATCGCGCACTTACTGCGCGCATTCTGTCACAATATTCTTATATGAAACGAATCAAATTGAAAAGGCTTTCGTCACTGTATCACTCAACTATCACTGTTCGTTGTGTTTATCGGCAGTTTTCCGGGTAGCTAGGGTACTTTTTAATTAAAATTTGCAGGAAATGGTCAATAATATGGTGCCCGGGCGAGCGAGCGTAATTCCCAATAGTCGGACGGTTCGGCACTGTTCGTTAGTTTCCGGCCGCGTTCGAGAGGGACCCGCATGAACATCGTTATTGTTATCATCAAATGCAGGGTCGCGCGCTAAGTTCACACTGATGAGAGTCGTCGTGCGCATGTGCGAGTCCGTCCGTCTGTTCTGTTATTTTTATCAAGGCGAGGCGTATCGATGTGAGTGAACCGGTTCTACGCGGTTATTATGCGAACTTACCATGAGACTACGGACTACGCAGTGGTACTCGTAGTTAGTTCATTTAGTACAGGTTAACACAGGAGAATTATCGTCATTTAAACATTAGAAAGTTCGTAATCCAATGTTCTAATGGCACGCTATTTTGCCAGTGGATCACTTTACACAATGTGCACTACAAATATTTTTATGTCTTATTACTTTTAGTTTCTCGTAGTCGCAAAAAAAGTAGTTTATCTGAGTTCTACCCAACCCATAACCCATTTAACACAACTAAACGATGTACAGGATGCGCTACGGCTATGGAACTTGAGGGGAAAGTACTTTAAGTGTAGATAGGATATTGCTTCAGGGAGACTTTTTTTAAATATACTTATTAACACCGCATTCAAAGACTTAAAAGTTACTGGCCCCACCTGAGAATCGAACCGACCAACATGTGACAAAAACATCATGTATTTTTATGATGCCGATCGAAAGAGTAAATTATAAGGATTAATTCGGTTTAAGTAACATAGTAACCTCAATTTAAAGAAACATGAAATTGTACATTTAAGGTTATGAAAATGAACATGATGCATTGTTTTACAGTCGGTACTTGAAAAAATATACCGCGGTTTTTTATGTAGTAATCCAATCCAAAATTGATCCTCTTTGAAATTATTACTGAGATTTATTCAGAAAATGCTAAAATTTATTGTAAATGAGACTCCAAGTTTTTTATTGGTTAAAATAATCATAATGACAACATTGGGGTATTTAACGATCTGTCAACTTTGCGCAGACCACGCTTTTGAAATAAGGCGCTATTCTAGAAAACCATAGATGTATAAATATTTTTAGATATGTGTATAAATATGTATTTTTAAATTACTTCCAACATGCGTCGGAACATACCGCACCTATTGAACGACAATGACGTAAGTGCAAAAATTTGAAAAAGTAACCTAATAATAGGAAACGACTTATATGAAAACTGTTAAAATGTAATGTGCGACATCAACCATAAAATAATTAGCTTTATTGCCGCCTGAGGGAATTTGCGTTGACGATGATGTCGAGTGTGTGCGTATGTCGAGTGTATGCGTCGTTGTGTCATTGGAGAAGGACTATAATTCAACAAAGACTCATTGGCTAGTTGAGACCAGCTGCCCGCTCAGGGAGCGGTTAGCTTATTTCAGAGAACAACATTGACTTACCTGTGTTTTATGTCTTTATATATCATGAACTATATTTCTTATATCCTATAACAATTAGTTATTTAGGTTTAGGTTTATCGAATGTGTGAAAGAATGATAGGGTCTCAAAAAGTAAATTAATATCACTATTACTTATAAGCTCCTCTGTTTAAGATAATTTTGAGATGACTTGGTTTTCGTTCTTTAAGCATTGTATACTATATATTTTCACCAAGAAAGGAAGAGTTGATGAAAATATTTAATTGTTATTAACATTTGAAGTTATGTAATGAAACATTAATACTGCATTATAACTTTTAGTTATATTATTATCATTGTTAGGTGAAAGTACTTACTACCGTCAACATAACTCTTAATAAATGTATACTTTATGCTTGCTAGTATCTGAAACTGAAATGTGTTCCAAAGTATATTGCTGAATTGATTGATGTAATAATTAACCACCGATCTAAGAACTAATTTTTATTTTAAAGCTAATGTTTTGACTTAACCTCAATGTTCTTCTGGCATTCTTAAAGTTAATAAACATTTTAATAAGATTAACGACGCAACTGTAGGTGCTTCCCAGAATAATAAATAAATAGCAAGCAAAATAATAATTTTGAATAATGCAACTTTTTCACAAATACAGCCCATATATAACCTTATTAATGATTTTTTGCAAAAAGCACTATAATTAATCCCAATAAAAAAATATCAGTCAAAGAGTAAAAAAAAATTTCAAAAGCGTATTCCTCAAAAATGAATTTTTTGCACTAATGTCATTGTCGTTCTAGAGGTGCGATACTATGTTGGAATCAAAAACAAAGTACTCGTTGCAAGGCAAAAGAAAAGTAATCGACACAATTTGCCATTGCTCTCTGATAGTTACACTACTTTGACTTGATTTTGTGTTTAAGGCTCAGTTTATATTGCGGCGGAACAGAATGGAAGCGAGTTTTTGTAGCGATATTGTATATGTGCATACCATAAAGTTCAATATGCCATAACATAATGAACTTTACGGTCAATTGTATAACGTACAAACTAGGTACCAGCCAAAAACTTTCATTCAAATCCGCGAGAGATTTTGGCTCATAACTAGTTTGAACGTTACACAATTTACCATAAAGGTCATTATAATATGTACAATATCGTTACAAAAATTCGTTTCCATTCAATTCCGCCGCAATATAAATTGAGCCTAAATGAACTAAGATGCAAACAAACACTAATTTTGAAAGAATCGGTAGATTATAACATGATTGAAAGTAACCGTATCTTCGGTATAATAAAGCCGTATGCGATCATACGTCAAAAGCTCTTTTATTACATGAAACTTGAAAGTCATAAAAACTACATGAAACAAATTAGTATACGTATGTATTATTATGTAGTATTCATTCAAGTATTACAACCCCTTAATCGCTCTCTATTTATTATTTTTTTAATTTTATTGTATGTTGATATACCCACATACGTGCCGACATCGACTAAGGTGGCCAACTAAAAATCAGCGCGGGGTATACTCTGCCTCGCATATGCTGAGGTGGTGACCTATTCGACGGGCATGCAAAGCAGCTTACAATGATTGGTTGTTTTTGTCTATAATTTTATATAATTTTTTTTTAAATATAAATATAATTTTTTACTTGTCTTTTTTTCTTCATCTTTTCTTTTATGTATTTTTGCCTTTATGAATTAATTGACTATCTTTTTATTCTATTCAATATGTGAAATTTTATAACTCTCCTACTTAAGCATCAAGTTATTGACTAATTTCGTTGGTAGAATTTGCAGTACTTGAGTGGTGCGACATTGACGAAGTGTAACCTTATCATGTAGAAGATAAAGCTTATGTGTCTCTGGCTGCAATTAGAAGCAACCCTTAGCAACAATTTTCAAAACATTTGTAATAAAAATAGAAAATATGACAAATGGTATAAATTTGAAAGAGTCTAAGAGCGGTTACACACGGCGACTTCAGCGACTAGCAGTCGCTAATCGTCTATCTTTACACACGCGCGCTATTTTCAGTAACAATGTAAACGCGATGCAAGCACGCAACTGCATCGATACAAACGCGCGATTGCATCGCTACACTTGGCATTTATTGGCGATTGCATCAATCGCGCGTTTGCATCGATGCATTCGCCTATAAAACGCAAGTGCAGAAATCAAACTCAAACATGTTAATGTTCTATTTATAAAAAGGACACGACGACGTCTCGGCGACTTGAAAGCGATATACTAACGAGTTCAGGTGAAAAATGAATACAGCCAATAAAATTTAATATTCAAAGTAAAAAGCAGTTATTATCCGCATGAGGGCAATATTGGCACGCCATATAAGCATTAAAAGAGACAATTGGGTGAAGCAGATCCTTTGTTCTACCCGGCGGCGGCGGTAGTCCTTGATTGTAAATTTAAAAAAAATATTGATATCAATAATCATGCTTTGTGGCCAGTGTTATGTTTTTTATGCGGTAGTTTTATTGTCACAAAAAGCGGTGAGGAATGATTTTGTTGAACTACGTAGGTATACGGCGGCGGCGTGATAATTAGTACCATAACTTTTCAGGTAAGCGATATACCCCAGTTCCGAATACTGGCTCCACAATTCGTTTGCCCTAAAGATGAAAATACTCCTGTAGACAAACCAGACAACACAGTCATTACGTAAGTGATTTCTTATAAATTATTAATCTTATCCCACATATAACACACACGTAATTTACTTTAAACTTAAGCAACTCTGTTAAAAAATTAACTGCTATCAGCCCCCGTAGCATGGCTACGCATGATAGCCGCAACGTGCGAGATTACATATCGATATTTTTATTATAGGTACTCGATTATGAGAGTATGATCATTAAACTGTAATGAAATGGGAGTTTGTATATACATAACGATAATTTTATAAATCTAAAAATTGTAAATTTGCCACAGAAAAATATTTTTAAAATTCTTATAATGAATGGCGACACGCGCTATTCAACTCGGTGCACCGTGAGATTATGTGAATGTGTGCGTCTATACATACAAGCGGCGCATCTACGTTTATATGGAGTTAGACCAATTGTTTGAATATACTATGGTAGTGCTATTGATTTTGAGTAACTATCATCAGCTTAATGGTATATCATTGTAGCGTATTTCAGGTTGCAAACTGTTTCCGGCGCAGACTTCCCCGTCGCGTGGTCAGTGCGCTGGGCGCAATTGCCAACACCCACCCAACGCTTCACTATTATGTTATGGAAGGCGGCACGGGCACTCGAGATACACCTTAACACACCTCCTAAGGAACCTTACGTTTATGTCATTGACAATGCACAGGTTCAAAACATTTTTACGATTTTTGTATGATTTATTGCAAGCAACTAACCATCATCACCAGCCAGAGTTAGGCCCAATATACGCCATTTCGCCCGATCCTCAGCTAGTCGCATCCATCTGCTGGCAACAGTGTTTCGCAGATCGTCACTCCATCTAGCCAGAGGGCATCCTACACTTCTCTGCTGTGGTCTGTGGCCTCGAAAAGAATCACCTCAAAATCATAGTATAATAAGAACAAGTACTACAACTATCAATTGTTCGGCGCGCAAATGATTTGCGCGAAAATTATACCAGGATCGCTGATTGGTATCTTGATTATGTAGTATGATAACCGTGCTCCTGGATTTAGGTAAATGACAATTCCTCTATTATTTTTTGTTCAATAAATTGTACTTACATCTGCAGCTCCTACACGGAATCGACTACATATTCAACGTAAGCTCTATTAACCCAGATGGTACGGTGTCAACCTCAAAGTCATTTCACATCGACAACACATACGGAGACCAGAAACTGGATATGGTTGAAGGCATAGGTGATTTACTGTCGATTGTACTTATTGGGGAGCAGAAGACGTTCGCGGATGTGGAATTTGTTCTTAATGCACAGGTTACTGCGTGTTTTGCTACACAGGACTATTATGTAAGTAATATAAAAAGATATATTTAGAGGAGCCCTAATAATCTCAGGACAGAATACTGAAAAAACCAACCTCAAAAGTCATTCATCGTCTAGTTTGCCACCCTTAGAGGTGGAATATTTTCTTCAAATTTAAAGTGGACCACTACTGAAGTACCCTCTTTCCAGCAAAAAAAGAATCATCAAAATCGGTTCACAGTTATCGCGTAACGTGCATACAAAAAAAAAGACGTACAGTCGAATTTAGAAGCTCTTCCCTTTTTAAAGTCGGTTGAAAAAAGGTTGAATAATGATAACAATGTTCATATTATAAACCACAGGCCACATATGCCAGGACGTTAAAATAAAATAAAAAAAATATAATTTCTATGGAAATCAAAATTTTAACTAAGTCTTATCACCTTTTGAATTCGATCAAACGCTCTGATATTATGTGGCTAATGGTTCATACGAACCTTGTTATCAACCTTTAAACCTTTTTAGAGCTCCTCTAAATATGTCCATGAGTATTTAAATATAAAAATAGACGTGACATTTTCCGAAAAGTACTTAAACCTGAGTATCGATTCACTTTTATTATTGTAAATCTTTGTGACACACACAGACCAGTAAGGTCATATTTTATGATAAAAATTATACAAATTAAATTTATTAAAACGTATTTAGGTACATATATTGATGTGCTATGTATAATGCATACAAAGGCAATAAATATAACGCCTCGTTTGTGTCTTAAAAAAGTACTTAAAAGGAATGAACCCTTACAATTGAGCCTTTCGATCGGGATTATAAAAATATACTTTTTCTTTCACATTTGATCGGTTTTGATTCTCCTGTCTCCATGAAGCAAAACATCCTATCGACAATATTTAAAATACTTTCCCTACGTGTCGCATTTAAATAAAACATCTGTATATTTTTATTGAATGTTATAAAACATCTGCCTCTGTGACGGAACGGTTACCATGCTGGTCTGCCACGCAGAGGTCCCGTGTTCGATTCCTGGACCGGGAAAAATATTTGTATGGCCTACATTTATTTCTCTCGTAAGTTTGAGTGTTATCTGTGGTTGACTATATGTGTGTTCATGGCACCCGCGATAGAGGCTTTCCTAGTGCGGGGCTTTGAGTGTACGGGTGTACGCGTTATCTTACCCAAGGATTTTCGTAGTTCATCTGGACGATTCGAAGCGCAGACTCTCAAAGGCAAGTGTACGTCTCCAGTATTAGAGGCAGTCGTTTGCGAATACCCCCTTATTCGCTACGAGCGGGAATTTCGTACGACGTGAACTGTGAAGTCATCAAGGAGAGTACGGGGCATCGAATCACGCAGGTGACGAAAAAAAAATTACCGTTAATAATATATTATTATGTTTCCAGTCCTACGAGGTTTATTTATTTAAAAACTATTGTTCCACAAAGTAAATTACAAATTTAAAAAAACAATTTAAAATATAAGTGTGCAGCGAGCTTAACCCATAAAGGGATTTCCAATTTAAAAACCCTCTAAAAATAAAATAAAATTACGGAACGAAAATACCATCTTGTAATACGGTAAATCTCCTTAAATTTATATTTTAAAAATAAATATTATTAGAACGGATTATTGGAATTTCATAAATTCCAATTTTCCTTCCGCTTTACCTTAGTAACCCAACGGTTTGCGCTGTGGGCGCTCGATGAGGAGGTGGAGGACCAATTTAGGGAATGAATATTCCTAAATAATTTGTTCTGCTTTGGGAACTTTCTTGCTCTGGTTCTCATAGTACATTATTATTACACTACTGCAGATTTGCGTATCACTAATAATCAGGTTTCTTCCTTCATCTTTACATTTGTAAAATTAATTGGCACAACAAAATGCTACCGCTAGCTATGTCGTGCCATGTGTACACAGAAGAAAGAAGAAGAAGAGAACAGGAGTAGTCCTGTTCTCCGTCCGACGGTCTGAAACAATTGCTGTTAAATAAGTAATACTCGACCAAATCAAAAGCAATATCAAGTATGAAGCTTCATTCGCATTATGTGTTTTTAAATTTGGTCGAGTACCCCCCTGGATCGAAACAAGCAGAGCAACAAATAGGTACAGTAGAATTGCTTGGTGGGCGCGACATGTGTGCCAACAGTACGCGGAGTTCCACATACTAGAGCTCAGTCCGCCATTTTCGCTTTGTATGTTATGGTCGTGTCAATTATATCGCGCAACACCTCGAAAATCGTTATACATAATTTTAAAAATTTTAAAAATGCCTTGTTTCGCTACTTTGGAGTGCAAAAATAATAGTTGCTCCTGTAATATTACCCGTGGTGGTGTTTCATATCATCGTTAAAAAATATGTTATTGAATTTTAATAAATTTTCAATTTTCTGTTTATCGTGATATTTGTTTGTCGTTTTTAATTTAGTCGAGTATTACTTATTTGACAGTAATTGTTTCGGACGAATGTCAAACAGAGGACAAGAGAAGACCCCCCAGAAACGTATCCAAATATGTCAAATATCAATCTCAATAAAAATCACAAACCAAATTTTTTCTTCGTGTCTATATAGTTATCTCACAGATTGTTATTTTTAGTCAAAAATTAAAGAGACAAAACTATAACCAATCAGCAAGTAAAAGTTTATCTAATATTTTAATATAATTTTATAGTATGTGTAATACATCCGATGATAATACTGCCGTCCACAACTAAAACTTGGCTAAGTGACAAAATATTTTTTTGAGATATCTAAAATTGGGTTATAGTTTAACCCAATTTTAGAATATTAAAATTGTTTGATGATAATTCAGCTGTGCATCGTTGGGTAAGTTCCGTTAAGTCGAACACGTTAACTAATTTTAATTGTTTTTAACTGATTTCAAAAAAGAAGGAGGTTCTCAATTCGACTGTATGTTTTTTTTTTGTATGTATGTTACGCGATAACTCCGGTATTTATGAACCGATTTTCATGATTCTTTTTTGTTGGAAAGGGGGTACTTCCATAGTCGTCCCATTTCATTTTGAAGGAAATCATCCACCTCTAAGTGGGCTGTTCACGCATGAATATTCATTTTTATAAATAGCGCCTAAATTTTCGTAAGGAGCAATTCAAATTAAAAAAAAATTTTAATGGTTGATTTTGCTATTTCTCCAATTCAAGGCGTATTTCTCTCAATATTCTTTGAGTGTGAGAACCGATTTTTATTATCTCCAGTGAGTGGCAAATTTAAGAATATTTCAATAAAACTTAGCAAATGGACGTAATTCCATGTATTTTTGAGGTCAGTTTTTTTAGTACTTTGTACTGAGATTATTAAAGATAATTTTGTTCTCTAGTTTTTGTTATTTGTAATAGTTATTTGACGTTTTGTCACTTACCTGCAGTTTAGTTAGTGGACGGCAGAATTATCAAAGAAAATAATTTCGAACAATCACTCTGTTTTTTTTTTAATCGCAAGGTTCACTAGTTGAGAAAAATAAACTAAGCTTCATATTTCTAGAATGGACTTCCAATCCAAGTACTACAAAGGAGCCTAGAAGTATTTCTCAACGTGGACTACTTAGTGGTTCCAGTGAACAAAGCGTTTAATATAGAAGCTTTGGTTATCAACCACGATCATTACCAAGAACCCATTAGTGTAAGTATAATTTATTGTAAATACGATTAACTACTTTTGGATTTTGAAATGGTGGCGCTAGTAACATTAAAGACTTGTTAACTAAAAAAATAAATAAAAAATAATAATTTGTATAATTTAAAAAAGGATACTAGGTGGATATAAATGGTTGCAATATATAATTTTATTACAGTTCAGATGGGACTGCAAATTTCTTGACGATCCTTGCGAATTCGAGAGTGGGGAAAACGGCACTCTGTCTTTTCCAACAGGACTACCAAATTTGGGACAGTATGTAACAAACTTAATTAAATTCAAATTAATTATGAATTTCAATCATTATAACTTTTTTATAAAAAAGACCGACCTCAAAAGTTTGTGGAATTACATATATTTGTGAAGTTTTATAGAAATCGGTTAACGGAAAGTGGGTGCAATCCGATAATTTAGATTTATTCCCTAACTTACTCCCTTATATTTTTATTGAGAGTTTTTGTGAAATAACTACTACTCTTGTTATGACACAAAGATCGAACACAGAAAAGTTATATATACGACCCGGTGGGGCTTGAACCCACGTCCATGCTGCACCGTAGTATTGCTCTAACCATCTGAGCCACGGATCCAGTTGCCGAGTCATCGAAATTCTCCTGTGTTTTTGTTGTGGATCTTTGTATTGACTTTCGGCATTCTTCGCCGCTAGTGACATCTAGTGAGAGATTTTTTAATAACCTTCTCACACAGCCGATACCTTGACAGGTATCACAACTGACTTAGAATATTTTCTTAAAATTTGAATGAGACCACTACCCCGTTTCCAACAAAAAGGAAACGTCGAAATTGGTTCCTAAATGTCGGAGTAATCGCGTCACATAGTTACACAAAAAAAAAACAAAGAAAAAGATACAATCGAATTGACAACATCCATCTTGAAGTCGATTAAAAAATGGTTCACACTTCTCTTTAAAAGTTGCCGCTACTGATGTTCTAATAAATAAATACTTTGATGAAAAGAAAAAATAATACATAATATAAACACTTTTAGGTACGAAATACGGGTAACTGCAATTGTAAATGAACAAACCGCTTCAGCTACGGCGACATTAAGCACAGTGGTAAATTCATTACCAGTTATTCAGGTACAAATTACGACAAAATTTTTATTTTATTAGTACTGTGTTTGAAATTCGTGGATTTTTCGGTATTACTTCTTCATATGTGAAGCTTGAAAAGTAATGAGAACAATTTAGAAAAATATAATACCTACAAACTTAAGAGTACTTAATAGCTTTAAATTTTAATTTAATTTTATTTTATTTTGTACTTTATCTTATGTTGACTTTAATCTTGTGCTTGAATTTCGTAATCTCAAAAAGTTTTAATTTTCTTTTTACTGTATTCATTTTTGATGTTATGATTTTGTAGTTTTGAATTTGAATTTGAATTTTATTATAATTATTACTTTAATTATTAGTTACTTACACTTCGAACATTGGACCAACCAACATATGTGCCATTTTAGCGAATCGCAGCTGTCGCTACAAATCTTTTTGTACAATATTTTATGTATTCCTTTTAGCTTGAGCTTACTTGTTTTTGACGCCTGTTTCTTATTTTATTTTTTCATTGTTTGTTCTGTTTTATTCGTAACTGTACATTGTTACTTAAACAAACTGTTCCGTTGTGTCCATTACATATTTTGGTCCTCGGAGCCGAATGATGTAACGAATCGCGGCAGTCGCTATAGCCATAAAATAAGAATTTAAATTATATAAAGGGAAGACGATATTGTCCGTCCTGTTCCAGATAACCCCAATACATAGGATTATAAATGAAGGAAGTCAGCTAAATCTCGTTGCCGATGCGAGCAATATCGCACCGACATGTGCTCTCACGTGGTATTTTGCTACCGAAGAATATTTAACACTCGGTATCAACAACACTTCCGAAAATTCTCAGGTACTCAAATCAAGACAACACTTAATATAATCATACATATATTACATTATTTACTATTATAATATATATGTAACTTTATTATGTACGTATACCAAGTATGTTCATATCATGTTGGAAATGAAACTATTTTTCCCGATTTAAATCGCGTATATTTGTTTTTTCAAACAAACCGACATTTCGGGCTCTTTACAGGTCCCATGTTCACGGTTGACTGAGGTGGTACAGTCTTCAACCAGTTATGTCTAATATTGATGCAAACAACCCTATTTTTTCACTATAGTTACAATAGTTATTAATTAAGTACCTTATTTTTAATTTTACAAAGAAAACATTCCAATTTATGCTACATTAAATTTTACAAATTATTTTATTGAATGAATTTTAATTAAGTTCAATTTATTGTTGATTAATAATAGAAATTAGAATAAACTAAAACATATTAATTAGTACTGCAGTCTTATGTCTGTTTGGGATTTTTCATTAGAGGAAATACTGAATCCCAAAATTTTGAAACTTTGTTTGAAAAAACAAATATACGTGATTTAAATCTCGAAAAATAGTTTCATTTCCTATGTGTAACAATCGTGAAAACCTAAGAACTCGATATTTATATCACGTTATTTATTGCCATATAAATTAACGATTAGCTCTCTAGTATATTGTTCTTCTTGTTAAAGTGAAGCACCAACCTATTGTGTTTTTATTTTCTGTTTGGCCCAATGGTTTTCTGGTAGAGAATGCCTTCTGGCATTAAGTCCGTCATTTGTACTTCAGTATATTGTACAATGAAGTGTAAATAAATAAATAAAAATGGTCCACGCAGATAATTAAAATTATTACCTAACCCAAAAATAGTATAAAATATTCGCAGCATTGGTAGGCTCAAACAAAACCACTGTGTACCAAGAACCAATGTACCAAGACCGCACCCTGATGGGTTCCACCCAAACACTCTTCATGAGTAAATTATGTACATCCTCAGAAATTCCACTGACTTCACAAGTGTAGTTCACCCTGTTCATCAAATATACAAAAATTATTTAATGGAACGTGTCCGGATCAGAACTTTCGAACGCTGACAATTTACCTGTTTATGGTCAAACCAAGGAACAAGAGGAGGCTCACACTGCATGGTCGTGTACCAAATTCCTTTTTCCGTGGACCTCAATTAAAAAAACACATTCCATTATTTTTATAATTTTAACTTCTAAGAGTTGCTGAGTTCAATACTCAACAATGATTTTTTTTACAATGTGCCTAAGCATCAAGTCCCGCCATCTGTTTCCTGAACAAATTACTTCCTCAACGTGAAAAATAATATTCTAAATAATAACAAAACTCATGCTTAGTTTTAAACTGACTTGTCTTAAAACCTTTTAGTGGCCTATTCTCGTTTTCCTATCAACACAATATTGCAAGCTTTTTTTTTACTTAAAGTCTATTGGCTTAAGGTTTTTGTAATCGATTTTGTAAATTTAAAACTAAAAAGCGTTTAAGTGAAATCGCTTTTATAAGCACACTTATATAAAAAGTACAACGCTTTAACGTTTATAATTAATACGTAGTTTTTCTCTATCTCTATGATAGGTATCTGCGCAAAATCAAAATATCGTGTGTCAAATCAATTTTGTCACTATCGTTAACTTTATAGAATATTGCTATTTAAAAAACTGTGACGTCAGCGAACCGTTGGCAAAATAATCTAGTAATTAAAAATAATAATAAATAATAATTCTTAAAAAAGCAATAGAAAACTCGGTGTCTTATTCTCATGTCAAATTAGCACATTCTTAATACAGTTGTGTAACATGTAATCAATTTAACTAAGTAAAGCAGGTAGATGTAATAAAACTAAAATCTTTCATTACTATTTGCTTCTGTGGATAAGCAAAGGGTATAACAGCATAAAAATTGCTACATTACATTTTGAAACATTTTTCCTTTTCGAAAAGCCCTTTAATCAATTTAAAAATATATTTATTCATTTACTTTTTTTTGCAATAAATGATACGCAATCAATATTTTGTAATACTACTTACACTTTCGATATCGTTTTCGTCTGTTTTATATCTGGATAATAATACTGGGTGTAATTTTCAGGTAATTTTTTTGTTCCTAATTACGGTGACAATATTATTTAAGTACCTATTCAAGTATATTATCGTAGAATATTAAATAATATTTCAGGGTGCCACACTCGGATATTAAATAATACTTCAAGATAATAAATATTCTTTCTTTCATGGGATTTTTCAACTTATGTCTCTCAGATCTTTTGCGATTTAAAGCTCTGAGTGGCAATGCAACTCTTATGGACAAGCGTGTCGTTTACCAAGAGGCGCATGACTTTATAATCATAAAAAAAATTGTAGACTGTTTAAATAATTAAAATTGCCACCGAAATTAGGTAAAGAAAACTAATGTGAAAATTACCTATTTACGATTTTACACTAAACTACACTGGTATACACTACGGCGACAATTGATATTTAATATTGTTCTTTGTTTTTAGCATGGTGAAGCATTATCGGACACGATAACAATTTTTTCATTAGAGGAGAACTTTTTAAATGAATTGACAGATTTTACGAATGCTACTGAATGCAGACAAGTAACTGCAGAAATAACCGCGGCTTCTGGCCGAGCTCGCTTCGTGGCAGAGTGTGGTTGTTCAATGGCGTTTGAATGTGAAACTAATGGGATAGTATACGCGGATGTCAATTTTAAATTGAATCAAAGTCCTAAGCCTGGGGAAATAATGGTGGGTATGAGAAATAAATTACAGCTTGTTATGTTGTTTATGAATAATTCAACGCTCATACATATAATAAACTAGCTGCACCTGGTACTCATCGCAATGCCACTGATTGCTGAAACAAAAGAAAGTAACGTAGTAGTGAAGTGCATTTGCAAAAGAACTGCATTTTCGGCTGCAGACGCATTTGTTGAAACATTTGACGAGTGGACCAGTACTCGATATTTTAAAATGCTTATATTAAAAGTTTTGTCAAAATCGGATGACTATTATAAAAAATAAATAAACGTAAAGTTAAAGGCGGCTTCCCACGGCCCATGGCTTCACGGGCCGCGCTACGCGAGCTCCGTGGGAAGAGGACCTACGCAGCCTCGCTCAGTATTGGGTCATGGAAAAGTTTCCATTATGAAAAAGTAATGTTTTTCAGAAGAATTATTATTTTTCCCGGTATTTTTCCTTTACTTTTCGACATTTTACGTTGACACCTGTCAAAAGTTGAAGTTGCTGAACGAAAACAATGGAGGTTTTTATTTTTTTCCATCCTCTAAGGTTTTTTTCGCTGTTTTGAAGTCAATTTAAATCTCGTTTTTCTCTAAGTGGGTTTCAGCTATACAAGTTCATTCTACAATTCACGCTAAATAAAACTTCAACTTTTTAGGAATTTTTCCGGAAAATTTTCCACTAATTGAAATTTTTCGGAAAATTACCCAACAGTAGCAATGATATTATGAAAAGTGGGCTCGCCTGCGAAGGCACAACGAATCCGCTGCGTGTCGGTACTTCCACGGCAGGCGAAAATGTATTTTAATGGTAGAAAATCACATAAAACAGTATAAAAGACAATCAATGTAACAATAATACACAAAGTTATCATACATTAAACAGTTACATTTAAAGTATTTATTATCTGCCTAGGTCACACCAGCCTCAGGTACAGCATTGGAAACGGTGTTTCGCATAAGCACTCTCGCTGTGGTAGATACGGACACTCCCCTGCAATACTCTTTTTACTGCCGAGTAGGCACAAACGACACTTTGCTCTTGGGCTCATTCTACGAATACCGAGCTGTGGAGACTTTCCTGCCATATATGGGTAAGACATTATATTATGATGTGATTATTTTTATTTATATATAGTAAGTACTTAATTATCTATTTATAAACGATAATATTGATTGACATATTGGTTTCATTCTGATTTTTACACGTTCGTCGTCGACTAGAATTATAAAAAATGTTCTAAATATGACATTGGCTTATATGACTGTTTTTAGTTTCATTTGTATACGTATGTACATTTTTTCGCGATATTTCATTATTTGGTTCTAGTTTTGGATGGCATTAATGCAGGGCATTATTACGTTTAGGCCGCGACAGTCGCTATGCCGGGCAGAGTAAGTATGTACACCTAATGTTCGATCGGTGTTTACCTAAAACTGATGTACATCTTTCATTTGAGATTGACATTTCACATTAACCATTTTTTGGCTTAGTTGACTTTGAAATCCAATTGGAAATTGAAGAATATTTTTAATTTGAAATACATATATTTTTTCCTCTTATTCTAGGAAAACTATGCCATCAAAAATCCTAAAACTAAGTGGCAACAGCAGTTCGTCAAGGCCACGCGGGTCATATTATATGGCTAAATACGTAGCGTTTGACACCTGCGTGAACGAGATCGCAAAATTAAGTGCGTCATGCCGGTCATTTTAACCCCCCACGGCCCCAACAGGCAGATTATATGCCGGACATTTTGACCCACCACGGCAATGAACGTGTTAAATTTTCAAATCGTCTCAAACCGACTCCACAATTTTGAGTTATGACAGTATTTAATTTCGTATGCGAAATATACAGACAAGAACAAACGTACAATCAAACAA